CATGGTGACAAAACCGAATGCAGTAGCTCCCCGGACTGATGAATCATCGGAGTGTGTCTTTGACATTCATCACATTTTCGTATGAACTCCTTCGCGTTCTTTTCCATATCGGTCCAGTAGTAGCCGGCTCTGATTATTTTTCGAACCAATGATTCAGCGCCTGAATGATTTCCAAAGGTGTCTTCGTAGATTTCCCTCAAAACGTACTCGGTATCCCCTGGTCCTAGACATATCGCGAGTGGGCCATAGAATGTTCTTCTGAACAGGGTTCCATCTTCGGACAGGCTAAACCGGGCTGCCTTTGTACGCAGGGCCCTCGATTCTTTTGTATCCAAGGGTATTTTTCTGGTCTTCAGATATTCTATATATTTATTTATCCAGTCCCAAGTTAGGCTCGTTGAGTTAATCTCGGTATGGACCTCTTACATTACTAATCTCATAAGTTATATGACTGCCCCCGAGTTAAACTCGTCGTCCTCGACCGATGATCCTAAGTTAGCAAAGGCATCGACCTCACTGTTTTGATCCCGAGGTACGTGTTGCAAAGTCCATTCTTTGAACCGATGTAATGTTACTTGCAACTTATCCAGGTACCTTTGCATTCGTTCTTCTCTGACCTCGAATGTCCCATTAACTTGGTTTACCACAAGAAGGGAGTCGCACTTGGCTTCGATCACCTCTGCCCCAAGCTTTTGGCTAGTTCGAAACCTACAATCATGGCCTCATATTCGACCTCGTTGTTATTCAAGTTCACACTTCTAATAGATTGTCTAACTACATTTCTTGTTGGTGGCTTCAATATAATGCCATGTCCGGACCCTTTTGCGTTCGAGGCGCCGTCCGTAAAGAGGGTCCATATCCCCGAAGAGGTCCCTGAGTTGATTAATAACTCTCTTTCGACCTCGGGTATTAGGGTCGGCATAAAGTTGGCCACAAAGTCTGCCAAAATTTGAGATTTAATGGCGATCCGGGGTCAATATTCAATATCGAACCCACTGATTTCCACGGCCCACTTGGCCAACCGGCCCAAGAGCTCGGGGCTTATGCATAACATTCCTCAACGGGTAAGTAGTCACGACACATATGGGGTGACACTAGAAGTATGATTTTAACTTTCTAGAGGCGCTTAGCAAAGCGAAAGCCAGCTTTTCTAGGTGAGACATACCTTGTTCTTCCTGGACCAGGACTCCACTTACCGCTATCTCCGATACTACCAAGTACAAGTATAGTTGTTCGTCTGTCTTCGGCATGTGAAGCAGCGATGGGCTCGATAGATACCGCTTGAGCTCCTCCAAGGCCCGTTGGCACTCCGGGGTCCATGATAAGTTATTCCTTTTCTTCAATAGTGTGAAGAACCGGTGGATCTTATTGGAGGACCTCGAAATCAATCGCCCCAGGGCATCTATGCGCCCGGTTAATCTTTGCACGACCTTCACATTGTCCACAACCGTGATATATTCGATGGCTTTGATCTTGTCGGGGTTGATCTCGATTCCTCGGTTGGATACCATGAACACGAGGAATTTACCTGATCCAACTCCAAACGCACATTTCTCTAGGTTCAGCTTCATATTGTATTTCTTCAATATGCTGAAGGTTTCCTGCAAATGTTTTAAATGGTCCTTTGCTCGCAGGGACTTAACCAATATATCGTCAATGTAAACCTCCATTGATTTTCCTATTTATTCTTCGAACATCCGGTTTACTAGGCGTTGGTAAGTGACACCAGTATTTTTTAATCCGAATGGCATTACGTTATAGCAGTATGTGCCGTACTTAGTGATGAAGGAGGTTTTTTCCTATTCATTCGGGTTCATCCGTATTTAGTTGTACCCGGAGTAGGCAACGAGAAAACTTAAGATCTCGTGGCCGGCCGTGGCATCGATCATGCAATCGATTTTTGGCAAAGGGAAGGAGTCCTTGGGACATGCCTTATTCAAATCCTTATAGTCTACACACATTCTTAATTTATTCCCTTTTTTAGAGACTACCACTACATTTTCTAACCAATCCGGTTATTTGACCTCCCGAATGGACCCTATTTTAAGGAGTTTAGATACCTCGTCCTTGATGAAAGCATTTTTTTACCTCGGACTAGGGTCTCCTCTTCTGTTTGACCAGGTGGAACTTCGGGTCCAGGCTCAGTTTGTGAGTGGTTATCTCCAGCGGGATCCCTGTTATATCAAGGTGGGGCCAAGCAAAATAATATTCATTAGCTATAAGAAATTGAATGAATTTTTTCCTGAGCTCGGGGATTAACCCCGTACCCAAGTATACCTTTTGATTGGGAAAATGTTCACTCAATGCGACTTGCTCTAGTTCCTCGACTGTTAATTTTGTAGCATCTGAGTCATCGGGGGCAATGAAAGATCTGGGGACCCCGTAATCATCGTCTTTATCAGTCCCCTGTTTCTCCGATTGAGTCAGGACTGGTGTCGGTAATTCCTATTTAGCTTCTTGCTTTGCGACCGATCCCGACCCCTTTGTCGTTGCAAGTGCGGATATCAGAATCGCCTCTTCGACCGTAAACATCTCCTTTGCGGCTGACTTTTCTCCGTAGATTGTTTTAATCCCACCTGGTGTTGGGAATTTTAACACTTGGTGCAGAGTCGAGGGCACTGCCCTTATGCTGTGGATCCATGGCTTCCCTAACAAAGCGTTGTACCTCATGTCTCCTTCGATCACATAAAACTTAGCTTCCTGGATGGTCCCGGCGGTGTTCACCGGTAATGTTATCTCCCCCTTAGTGGTTTCACATGCTATGTTGAATCCGTTTATTACTCGGACTGCAAGCACAATTTGATCTTGTAGACTGAGCTGCTCCACGACCCTCGATCGGATGATGTTGGCCGAGCTACCTGGATCAATTAACACGCGCTTAACTCGAAATTTATTTACGAGTACAACTATTATTAGTGCATCATTGTGGGGCTACACGATCCCTTCCACGTCCTTGTCGTTGAAAGACAAGGTTCCTTCATATATGTAATCTCGAGTCCGTTTTTCCCTCGTGATGGACACTATGGTGCGCTTCAACAATGGCCCTTGAGGGACATCGACCCCACCGATGATCATGTTAATGACGTGTTGAGATTCATCTTGTTCGGTCTGTTTGTTAGAATCCCTATTCTTGAAATGATTCTTGGCTCGGTCGCTCAGGATTTTTGAAGATCCCCGTTGTTGAATAGTCGGGCAACTTCCTCTCTCAACTGTCGGCAATCCTCCGTTCTGTGGCTATGAGTGCCATGATATTTACACATCTGGTTAGGATCCCTTTGGGTTGGATCAGATTATAGAGGTCGAGGCCATTTGGTATCTTTGATGCATCCGATAGCTGATACAATGGCGGCATCATCGACGTTAAAGTTATATTCCGATAACCTCGGTGCTTCTTTAGGCTCGATGGGCTTGTCGAAGCTGTTTTTGCTCATGAGTCCCCGATTGCTCCGACCTCGATCACTTATCCTTTCATTTCTCATAGAGTTTCGCCCGGACCCACTGCTTCTTCGGTCTCCATTATACAGCTGATACGATCCCTGTTTGATCTCGATTTACGATCGATGTCTCTCTTGACTCTGTCGATAATTCTAACGGGTTAAATGGACCCCGAGTTGATCATCTTCGACTCTGATTTTCGATTGATACTGGTTATGCACGTTGGCCCAAGTAATGGCCGGATATTCTATCAGGTTTTGTTTCAACTGTTGTGAAGCCATCGAGCTTCGAACATTGAGCCCTTGGGTGAAAGCCTGAGCGGCCCAATCATCAGCGACTAGTGACAGGTCTATTCGTTCCATTTGAAACCGGGACACGAACTCTCTGAGCATCTCGCTATCCTTGTGTTTTACTTTGAAAAGGTTCGATTTCCTGGTCTCGACCTTGATGTCCCCGGTGTGTGCTTTCACGAAAGAATCCGCAAGCATAGCAAATGAGTCAATAAAATTAGGAGGTAAGTTGTGATACCATATCATCGCTCCTTTTGATAGGGTCTCTCCGAACTTCTTCAACAAGACAGACTCGATCTCATCATCCTCCAAGTCGTTCCCTTTGATGGCACATGTGTAAGAGGTTACATGCTCATTTGGGTCGGTCGTTCCGTTGTACTTAACAATTTCGGGCATGCGAAATTTCTTAGGGATCGGCTTTGGAGCCGCGCTCGGAGGAAAAGATTTTTGCACGAACTTCTTGGAATCCAGGCCTTTCAATATCGGCGGTGCTCCTGGGATTTGGTCTACCTTGGAATTCTAGGTTTCCACCTTTTATTCATTAGCTTCGATTTTCTTCTCCCCCGATTCTACTCGTTTTGTCAGTTCTTCGAGCATCTTTATGATCTCGGGGTTAGCCCCCGATTCATTTTCGTTTGACCTTTCTGCGACCTGTTCATCATTGCGGGTGACTTCCCGGGGTGGATCGGGTTCAACTCTGTTCGATGCATGGCTTTGGTTCTGTAACTGAGCTATCACCGCCTGTTGAGCCTGTAACATTTCAAAGATCACCCGTAAACTGATCCCGTCTCCTCCAATGTTTTGTGTATTTTGAGCTGCCGATCGGGCTCTACCACGGATGATATTCTCGGGGTCGGTAGGCAGGTTAGTGTCGATAGCCACATGTGAATTAGCGCCAATCGGGTCCGCAGCCGGAATTCCGATGGGATCAACGGGCGGTACCTCGTCACCGGGCGCTATATTGTTATTTTCACCGTGATGACCAGACTCATTGTCAACATGTAGGGGTGCTGATTGAGAGTTTGACATTTTAAATTTTAACCTGCAATTAGAGGCACTTCAAAGAACAAGTGTAAAGTAGTGTGTGCTATGGAGATTTGTATCAAATAACCACTATTATCCTTAGCCCCACAGTGGGCGCCAAACAGTTTACCCTCAAAATCGGATAACAATTGAATTTGTAAGTGGGTTTAAGGATATGTGGATTAACTTCACACAAAAAGATAAATTAGATTGCAATTGAAATAAATAATGGTAAAGTAAATGCAAACCACACGAATTGAACAGTCTTAGCCTTGGAAGGTTAATCACCCTCGAGCCAGGTACACTTCGATCAGTGTCAGGACACAGAAGAACAAGAGCGTAAAGAGAAATATAATGATGTATTGGCTTTGAATGCGTGTTACAATGTGTTCTATATATTTATCAGACCCCCTTTATATAGTAGAGGAGTCCTACTTTAGGTACAATTCTATAAAGGGTAAAAATCCCTTGATTTGTTGATACCCGGTTCCTTACTGATACACGCCGATATTCCCTCCGCAATATCTGCCCGGTTACAGATATTTCGGTCTTATGTTGGTTATGCTAACAATATTTCTTAGAGCTCGTTCGGGGCTAGGGTCGACTCCGAGGTCTCGGACTCAATATTCTCGAAGGCAGGTATCCTAACCCCGGGATCTAGCCCGGTGTGACTCGGTGCCGATCTTCAGCCTTACATTGTCATGTTCCGAGTCCGTCCTTTCATGTCGTAGGAGAACTCGATCTCGACCGTATACAAAAAGAAAGATAAAATTTGCTATTACAAGACAAGGGTAAGTAGCATAAGTGCATTGACCAGTAATAAGGTAATTTTTCCTTCTTTTTTTTTCCAACACTGCACAATTCAGCAACTTGTCTACTGCGGTGGCTGTAGAAAAGTCATTGTCACGTTGCATAAAGATAAATGATTGAAGCTAATTATGCTAAGTATTTAATATTGCTTCAGGATCATTGAAGCTGACCTTTATAGTAGAATATACTCTAAATCTGAGTATATTCAATGTGCTGTGTTAACAAGCTGGGCAGATGAATTAAATTACCTTTATTTTGAGCATTTAATCACATATAATCAGTACATTCTCGCATCATTTGGGGGCAATTGTTTATATACCATCAATGGTCGAAAGTAATAATCTAATTCTCGCATTATTCTACAGTCGCTACACTCAGATATGAATATACAACTAGCCTTGCTTTTGAAATTGGATAGCACCAGGTGGTTAAACTCAGTTGGGAGTGCTATTTTTGCCCATATACTTGGCCAGTGACTGTTCTGCCAGTGAAGGAGAACAACTGGCTTCAAGGATCGGAGTAAGCCAGTGACTGTTCTGCCAGTGACTGTTCTTTTATCTAATTTTAGTCAATTTGATGGGTAAGCCTGATACTTACCTTCCAAGATAGTTATGATGTGAACCTTAATTATAATTTGGATTTCCTTCTGTGGATGAAGTGAATTTTGGAGCAACAGTATAGGACCATTCAATATTTGTGAAAGAACAACTGCATTCCTTTCCACTTAAAAGAATTGCCTTTTATATTGACTCATTTTATTTCCAATGCTGCCAAATCTATCGATTTATATTTTCATCAATGCTGCCAAATCTGTACTTATATTTTCGTTGATGCTGCCAAATCTATTGGCTCATTTTATTTGTAGAAAATATCCAAAACTAATATTGAGAATCGAAAAAAATTGAGGTATCCACACACAGTTGGAAAGGCAAGTTTTGCTCTAATCCGCGAGGTTTGATGTTTTATCTTAAGTTTTTTAAATATAAACTTGTTAGCTTTACATGGAAAGTTTTCCTATCATTTTTATGTAACTAGCCAAAAAGATGGAAACTTATGATAATCTATCAAGTAAGGACATCTTTGTGGCTACAAGAAAAAGAAAACCTGGTCGAGTATACAAAGCGTCATATGAGGATACAATTAGTAAAATTGTACAAAATTTCTAATTTAAAGTTTGTCGAGATCATTTATTTGTTCTTAATTATTGACTCAGTTTGTAGGCTGAAATAGAGAAAATACAATCAACTCAAGAAAGTGTAATGACCTGGCCGGTAGTTTTGAGTGTTTTAGCCCTGATCCTCTATTTAATGCCCCCTCTATGCTATATTGTGATTATGTGACTTACTGGAGCGTTTGGTTTTGATTTCGGGTGAGTCCCAAAGTAAAACGGGACACATAGTCCCTAAGTTTGAGCTTTAAGTTGAAAGAGTTGACCATAGTTTGACTTTTATGTAGACGACCCCGGAATGAAGTTTTGACGGTTCCAATAGCTCCGTATGGTGATTTTAGACTTAGGAGCATGTCCGGATGTTGATTTGGAGGTCCATAGGTTGTTTCAGCGTGAATTGGCGAAAGTTGGAAAGTTGAAGGTTGAAAAAATTGACCGGGAGTTGACTTTATTGATATCTTGGTCGGATTTGGATTCCGTAAATTGGAATATGTCCGTTATGTCAATTATGACTTGTGTACGAAATTTGAGGCAAATCGGAGTTGTTTTGGTATGAATGAGCATTAGTTTTGGAATTCGGAAGTTCATAAATTTCTTAGGCTTAAATCGATACGCGATTTATGATTCTAGTATTGTTTGATGTGATTTGACACTTTGAGCGTGTTAATACGGTGTTTTAGGACTTGATGGTATATTTGGTTGAGCTCCCGGAGGCCTCAGGTGTAATTCGGACCATGTTCGGCGCTTTTCGGAACATTGAAGATTGCTGAATCTGGTGCTTCTGGTTTCCTTATATACGATCGCGAATAGTAGTTTGGCACTGGGGGAGATTTGCTATACGCGATCGCGAGAAGAGGTCTGCGATCGCGGAAGGTTGGCTTTCAGTGAATCACGAATGCGTGAAGGAGATTGCGTCCACGTAGAAGGAATGGGGGGTTGCAGGTCCACGCGTTTTTGTTCATCACGGTAGCGTGTACTGTCCCGCGATCACGTAGCTTGATAAAGGCAGTGTGTCGCGTTTGCGTTTGGTCTCCGCGTTCGCAGAGAGTTTTTTTGGGCAGCAACATTTTTATGCTTCGCGAACGCGAGGCATTTTCCGCATTCGCGAAGAAGGAATCACCGACACCATAACTTAAATTTCAAAACGAGGGTTCTAGCTCTTATTTCATAATTTGGACTTAGAGAGCTCGGGGTGAGGCGCATTTTCGGGAGATTTTTAGAGAGATTATTGGGATAAGAATTCCTAACTCGGTTTTGGTTAAATTACACGAATCTATTATTGTTTTTATCATCTAATTAGGGATTTGAGTTGGAAATTTGGGGAAAATGGTATAAACTCCTTAAGCTAAAATTTTGGAATTTGAAAGGCGAGCTGAGGTCAGATTTGAGTAATTCTTGTATGGTTGGAATCGTTATCATATGGATGTACAGATTTTATAATTTTTATCGGGGTCCGAGATGCTGGCCCAGGTTGACTTTTTATTTCTTTGCAAAGATCGTGATTTTATCATTCGAATTAGTTTCCTATAGTTTATATTTATGGTATGAAGTTGTTTTGGCTAGATTCGAGCCGTTCAGTGTTGGATAATCGAGGGGAAGGCCTACTAGTGGATTGATTTAGCGTGATTTGAGGTAAGTGACTTGCCTAACTTTGTAGGGGGGGAGGAATTACCTCTTAGGATTTGTGTTGGTTGTGATAATTGTGATATGTGAAAGCCGTGTATGCAAGGTGACGAGTGTGTACATGGGCTAAATGTGAAAATTACCGATTTTAGCTATGTAGATTCCTTTCATGCCATAATTGAGTTACCTTAACATGTTATACTCATCATTTCTAGTCTATTTTCACACGTCTACTTGTCTTATTCTCTTACAAGCTAATTTCCCTACATGTTTAATTAAAGTTCTTGTTTCCTTTATTCCGTATTCAATATTTGATCGTTGAACTCTTTAAATGAATTTGTTAAATCGTGGAATATCTTGTTGTTGAAATTGGTATTGAGATATAAAGGCCGTGATTTACATTGAGGCAAAGTGTTACATTATGAAATACCATCCAGTTGAGTTGTTAATTCCGGTTGTTATTGTTAAAACTCTTGTGTACATTGTGGTTGATCCATGGGCTCTTTACTATGAAAATATTGTATTTGTTTGAATTTTGTGGCAAGTTGTGATATTGGGCACTTGAGGTGCAAATTGTGATACATTATGATATTGATACGCATGCGGTGGTATAAGGTTTTGGGGTTAAAACGCATGCGGTAAGATAAGGTGGTCTTGATACGCGTGGCTAGTAGGGGAACTACTAGAAGTCATGCAGTGTGATAAGGTAGGCTAAAACGCGAGATGCTATTTCGGGAAAATAATTTTCAAAACTAAATGTAAAGGCTCCTGCGGTGATATAAGGAAAGATTGTGATTTATTCTTGTGATTTGAGACTATGAGGCGGTACCTCGATAGTGACTCTTGTTGGCATTTCTCCATTTTTGCACTTGTTTTTGGTTGTTGTTTCCTTAGCATATTATTAATTGTCTTTCTCCGTGTTTCACTAATTATTTTGGTTCCATGTAGCTAACCTTGATATGCTAATTGTTGTTTAAATTTCATTACTGTCATTATTACTTTGCCTTACACTTGTTCAGTCTTTTATTTATTCCAGTAGGGCCTTGACCTGACCTCGTAACTACTCTACCGAGGTTAGGCTTAACACTTACTGGGTACTGTTGTGGTGTACTCATGCTACGCTTCTGCACATCTTTTTGTGCAGATCCATGTACCTCCTACCAGTCCAGACATCAGTGATTTGAGTCCGAGCGTGGAGATTTCAAGGTATACCTGCCAGCGTCCGCAGGCTTCGGAGTCCCCTTCTGACTTTATTTCCTTATTTGATTTCCCTTTTATAGACATTGATATGTAGGATTATCCAGTACTATTACTTAGAGCTTGTGACTTATATTTCGCCGGGTTTTCGGCAATTATGTATATACTGAATTGTGGAGATTTCATTTATACTAGTTGTTGGATTTTGAGACTTTAATTGTTATTTCAGTTATATTCTGCATGTTGTTAGGCTTACCTAATCTTAGAGACTAGGTGCCGTCACGACATTCTACGAAGGAAAATTGAGATCGTGACAAGTTGGTATCAGAGCTTTAGGTTCATAGGTATTATGAGTCACAAGCAAGTTTAGTAGAGTCTCGCGCATCGGTACGGAGACGTTAGTGCTTATCTTCGGGAGGCTATGGAAATGTTAGGAAAAGTTTCACTTCTTTGATTCCTTATCGTGCGAATTTGTTGACTTCGAAATTCTAAATCTCTGTCTTTCTATTCTCTCACTGATGAGGAGGACACGCACAATAGGATCTGATGATCAGACACACGCGCCCCCTACTAGAGCCGTGAGAGTCTGGGTTAGAGGCCGAGGACGGGCATATGGTGTAGCCAGAGCACTTGCCCGAGCTGCTATAGAGGATCCACCAATAGCTCAAGTTGAAAAGTAGGCACCTGAGATGCCTGTTACTACCCCTGCACTTCGGGAGACTCTCGCCCAGTTTCTGCGTATGTTCGGCACTTTGACTCAGACGGGGTTGATTCTACTTGCTCCTACCACATCTCAGGCCGGGGAGGAGCATAGACTCCCGCCGCCCGCACCCCAGAGAAGCGGGTCCAGGTTGACTAGGTCCCAAAGGTCATACCAGTGCAGCCGGTCCCCCCAGTTCATCCCGATGTTAGGGAAGCAACTTCCGAGGGGGAGCAGCTCAGGCTCGAGAGGTACAAGAAATACCACCCTCCTACTTTCAGCGGTTTGGCTTTAGAGGATGCCCAAGGTTTTCTTGAAAAGTGCCACCGTATCCTCCGTACTATGGGTATTGTGGAGTCGAGTTGGGTTGCTTTCACTACGTTCCAGCTTAATGGAGCGGCTTATCAATGGTGGCGGGCGTATGAGTTGGGTAGCCCGGCCGAGGCAACTTCATTCACCTGGGATCAGTTCTTAGAGATATTTATGAGAGAGTGTGCAGTGCTTGAGCAGTTGCGCCAGGGTTCTATGACCGTATCAGAGTATGCAGTCCAGTTCAATGATTTGTCCAGGCATGCACCAACCTTGGTTGCTACTGCCAGAGAGTGAGTTCGTCGATTTATCGAGGGGCTCAGCCCTGGTATCAGATTCAGCATGGCCCGAGAGTTGGAGATGAACATCTCATACCAGTAAGTAGTGGAGATCGCTATGAGATTGGAGGGTATGTGGTCTGTAGAGAAAGAGGATAGGGAGGCCAAGAGGCCTCGAGATCCTGGCACATACAGTGGTGCCCTTGCCCCAGTTGCAGCCCTTCATGGTAGGAGCTATGTGAGTCGCCCTGTTCATTCAGCACTTCCAGCTTCCTGCGGTATTCCAGCCACTCCCAGGCCCCAGGTTACCCATTATGCACCACCACTGTCTAGTGCATCTCCTACACGGGGTGCTTTCAACGGTCAGCCCAGCCGACCAGGACCGAACCAGTCCCAGCAGCCATGTCCTCCGAGAGCTTATTTTGAGTGTGGTGACACTCGACATATGGTGAGGGATTGTCCAAGACTCAGGAGAGGTGCACCTCCACAGACTACTCAGATCCCACGTATTCTACAGGGCCCTCAGGTTTCTCAGGCCGTGGTTACCGCACCAGTTGCTACTCCACCTGCACACGACACAACTGGCACCCAGTGCCTGTAACTTACACCAAGCGAACCACTTGACCATATCTACCCATTCATGATTATTTCAAGGTTTGAAGTATCACTTAAACATTTGAAATATCGTCTTGAATCGTTTGGTAAAAGTCTTTATTTTAACTCAAAACATAAGTAGGCCTTTGGCTAAGATACATAAGTGCGGAATGAACATAAGAGTTTAAGAAAATATATATTAATATCATCTGAATGACTAGACCTCCCCACAATGTCACTAGAACCTCTATGGACATAAATGGACATAATAAAATCACTAGATATAAGCCCACCAATAAAATAACGAGCTTACCAAGTATAGTAGAGAATGCAAAAAACGTCTAGCTTGTGATGTCAACTCCAATTCCACGATATCTGAAATATCAAATAAGTTGCCCCACGTAGGAGGCTGAGCACAATTTCATAGAAATCGTACCCCGTTAGTATCATTGACTCCTTCCGATAAGGTTGGAACGATACTTCAGGGATACGTAAAATACATGAAGTAAAATAAGTATGACAATTCATAAAATGAATAACGAAAAGAAATAAACATTAAATGCATTTCAGTAAACTCTAAACATTTCAATAGTCTATAAATCTTTCAATAGGCTGTAAATCTTTCAATAGGCTATAAATCTTTCAATAGTCTACAAAACTTTAAATAGGGAGTTCCAATAGTTATAATAACAACGATAATTGATGTCTATATGTTGACAATCCCCTGATCAACCTGGGCGTCTCTCCCGAAGGATATTGATGATAGTAACTATCGCCTGGTCACGAGGCCGCCTCACCCATTACTATGGGATTTTGACGATAGTGCTACCACAGTAAGGTGTCTCATTAGACAATATATGGTACACAATGAAACGTGTGTTCTGTAGCGATAATAATTATGGTCCTCCCAAATAATATTTTCTTTAAATTGTATGACCCATAGGTCCTATAAATATTTTCGATAATTGGCTCCCAAGGCCCATAGTTCAATTATATATGTTGATAAGGTTCCTTTGACTTCGATAAAATGATAACCTTTTTCAAAATATCTCGATAAATTATAAAATCACAAGATAATGAGTTTCAATATTTGCGATAATCACCTGATCCAAGTCAAGTAGAAAAATATGATTTAAAGTGTCATCATTCAATAAAAGACAATAAATGACCAACAATACAATTTATGCATGTACGATACTATAAGATAGCATAGAGTATATCATAATGTTAAAAACATGGACGGTAAGGTTCGATCGCTCCAACAAACCAAACTAACATTTAAAGAAACTTCAGCAAGTATTAGAATTCATGGAATTCATCAAATAATCCTTAGGAGAAGGCACATCTTAACTTACCTCATCTTAGCTTTCCAAATTACTCTAAACTTACCCAACAAACTCAACTCGTTCAACGATATCAATCTATATCAATCTATAACATTTTCGGGCTCATAATCGGCATCAAGCCATCTAATATCCTTATTTTCGATTACTCCGACAATTTAATTAACTCCAAAATATCATTTTAAAGCGAGTATCAACTTTAAGAGATTATTAGAATCATTATTTAACTCAATCCTTATCGCTAGTTACTATTCATATTCCCCTTCCTTAGCTCTTTAATGTCAAGAACACCCATTTTGGGGTTATTTTAATATCAAGTTTCCATCACCTTTTTCATACTCAAATATACTCAATAACATCATTTGAACTTCATAATTGAAGAGGGAGCGGTAGAATTACCTTGTAGTAGAAAAATCTAGCTTTTCCCCTTTTTCATGTTCTTGAATAATTTCTTTACAAATCTAGAATTTCAATGAGTTGGGTGTTAATACTTATATTAAATGAATGAAATCTACTCAAAATAACCATTTAGTACTCACCTAGAACTTCAATAAATGTGCCGCTATTGCATACCAGATGAGCTGATACGCTGCTCTTTCTTCTCTAAACAAGAATGGCCCAAAGAAGAATCTTGACTCCACTTTACAAAATTGAATGGTCTGCGTCCGTCGTCCAGTGGGTATAGTTTTGAGCTTAAGAGCTCACTTGCAGTGCTCTATTCCACCATCCTTTTGGATCTGATTTCCCTTTTCAGATTATGTGTTACATGTTATTATCTTGATAGCTAAGTGAGGCTTAGTGTTCACACTAAACAGATTAAATATGCCAATTTCTTAAATATCAATTATGTGGGCACCTTAGTGGGCTTGACCATAAATTCCCACGTGTAAAGTTCAAGACTTCAATCTATTTTAGGGGCTTCACAGTGAGTTGGCAACATTTATGCTGGAATGTATTTTATAATACAATGACTAAATAAGACTGCACAATTGAAGCAGTATTTACTCCAACTCTCACGTTTTGATTCATTTGTCCATTTAACTATTTCAAATCATGTCTAATCAATACCATAAATATATTTACATATTTTCATGTTGACACAACTCTCGTGTGAGTCAGGGTACACCAAAAAATATCACTAAAGTTATAATTGGCCCGAATAAACATCCAAAATTTATGGGGCTATACAACAAACAGCCAGGAGTGGAGGTCGGGCAGGTAGATGTCACCTTAGAGGGGGAGGCCATGCCAGATATTATGCTCTTCCTGCTAGGACAGAGGCGGTTGCATCCGACTTAGTTATCACAGGTATTGTTCCGGTTTGTCATAGAGATGCATCAGTCTTATTTGATCCAGGCTCCACTTATTCCTATGTATCATCTTATTTTGCACCGTATTTGGGTATGTCCCGTGATTCTTTGAGTTCCCTTGTCTATGTGTCCATGCATGTGGGGGATTCCATTATTGTTGACCGTGTGTATCGGTCATGTTTAGTTGTTCTTGGTGGTTTTGAGACCAGAGCCAATCTATTGTTGCTCAATATGATAGATTTTGAAGTTATTTTGGGCATGGACTGGTTGTCGCCCTATCATGCTAGCCTTGATTGTCACACCAAGACGGCGACGTTGGCTATGCTAGAGTGGAGAGGTACTTTATATTATGTTCCTAGCTAGATGGTGTATTTCCTTAAGGCACATCGGATGGTTGGAAAGGGATGTGATGCATATCTAGCATATGTGAGGGATGTCAATGTTGATACTCCTACCATTGAGTCAGTTCCGGTAGTGAGGGATTATCCAGATGTATTTCAGGCGAATCTTTCGGGCATACCGCCCGACAAGAATATCGATTTTGGTATTGATTTGTTACCGGGCACTCAGCCCGTTTTTATTCCACCATATCATATGGCTCCAGCAGAGTTGAAGGAGTAAAAGGAGCAATTGCAGGAGTTGCTTTATAAGGGTTTCATTCAGCCCAGTGTATCACATTGGGGTGCTCCAGTCTTGTTTGTAAAGAAGAAGGAAGGTTCTATGTATATGTGTATTGATTATCGCCAGTTGAACAAGGTTACAGTGAAGAAAAGGTATCCATTGCAATGCATTGATGACATATTTGATCAGCTAAAGGGTGTTAGAGCGTTCTCAAAGATTGACTCGCATTCAAGCTATCATCAGTTGAAGATTCGGGAGCCAGATATCCCGAAGACTACCTTTAGGACTCGGTATGGTCATTACGAGTTCCTTGTGATGTCATTTGGGTTGACCAACGCCCCAGCAGCATTCATGCACTTGATGAACAGTGTATTCCAGCCCTATCTTGACTCATTCGTCATTGTGTTTATTGACGATATCTTGGTGTACTCCCGGAACTGGGAGGATCATGAGCAGCACCTGAGAACCGTGCTCCAGACATTGAGAGAAAAGAAGTTGTATGCAAAATTTTCAAAGTCTGAATTCTAGCTTGATTTGGTGGCATTTTTGGGTCATGTAGTGTCCAGTAAGGGGATTAAGGTAGATCCGAAGAGGATTAAAGCAATGCAGAGTTGGCCCAGACAGTCTTCAGCTACGGAGATCCAGAGTTTTCTTGGTTTGGCAGGGTATTACCGTCGATTCGTAGAGGGTTTCTCATCTATTGCTGCACCTATGACCAGATTGACCTAGAAGGTTACTCCGTTCAGGTGGACCAAGGAGTGTGAGGAGAGATTACAAAAGCTCAAGACAGATTTGAGTACAGCCCCAGTGTTGGTATTGCCTACGGGTTCGGGGTCTTATATTATGTACTGTGATGCGTCGCGTATTGGTCTCGGCGTGGTGTTGATATAGGATGCTAGGGTGATTGCCTACATGTCTAGATAACTAAAGGTACATGAGAAGAACTATCCTGTCCACGACCTTGAGTTTGCAGCTATTGTTCATGCCTTAAGGATTTGGCGGCACTATTTGTACGGTGTCTCTTGTGAGGTCTATACCGACCACCGGAGTCTGCAGCATATGTTCAAACAAAAGGATCTTAACTTGCTACAACGGGGATGGGTAGAGTTGCTTAAGGACTATGATATCACCATTCTATATTATCCCGGAAAGGCCAGTGGTGGCTGATGCCTTGAGTCACAAGGCAGAGAGCTTGGTCAGTTTAGCATATCTACCGGCAGCGGAGAGGCCATTAGCATTGGATGTTCAGGCCTTGGCCAACTAGTTTGTTAGATTGGTTGTTTCGGAGCCGAGTCGAGTTTTGGCTTGTGTGGTTTCTTGGTCTTCTCTTTACGATCGTATCAGAGAGCGTCAGTATGATGACCCTCATTTGTGATGCCAAGGAGGTCACTATTGGGGATGACGGTGTCTTACGGATGCAGGGCATGCTATGTGTGCCCAATGTAGATGGTTTGCATGAGCTGATTCTTCAGGAGGCCTATAGTTTGCGGTACTCCATTCATCCGGGTGCCGCCAAGATGTATCAGGACTTGAGGTAACACTATTGGTGAAGGAGAATGAAGAAGGACATAGTGGAATATGTAGCTCGGTACCTAAACTGTCAACAGGTGAAGTGTGAGCATCATCGGCCAGGTGGATTGCTTCAGAGGTTAGAGATTCTAGAGTGGAAATGGGAGCGGGTTACTATGGATTTTGTTGTTGGGCTCCCACAGACTCAGAGGAAGTTCGATGCAGTATGGGTGATTGTGGATAGGTTGACCAAGTCGGCTCATTTCATTCCGGTGGTGATTGTGGATAGATTGTCAAACTTCATGGCGTGCCGATATCCATCATCTCTAACCGGGGTATGCAGTTTATATCGCGGTTCTAGAGGGCCGTACAACGTGAGCTAGGCACGCGAGTGGATTTGAGTACAACATTTCACCCTCAGACGGACAGAGAGTCCGAATGCACTATTCAGATATTGGAGGATATGCTCCGTGCGTGTGTGATGGAGTTTGGGGGTTCTTGGGATCAGCTCTTGCCGCTTGCGGAGTTTGTCTACAACAATAAATAACAGTCAAGCATTCAGATGGCTCCGTATGAGGCTTTGTATGGGAGGCAGTGCCGGTTTCTGGTGGGTTGGTTTGAGCCGGGTGAGGCTAGGCTATTGGGTACAGACTTGGTTTAGGATGCTTCAGAAAAGGCTAAATTGATTCAAGATCGACTTCGTAAAACCCAATCTAGACAGAAGAGTTATGCGGATCGGAAGGTTCGTGACGTTGCATTTATGGTTGGGAAGCGGGTCTTGCTCCGGAATTCTCCCATGAAGGGTGTTATGAGGTTCAGGAAGAAGGGCAAGCCGAGCCCTAGGTATATCAGACCTTTTGAGATTCTTAAGAGGATTGGAGAGGTGGCCTGCAAGCTTGCACTACCACCAAGTCTAGCTGCAGTTCATCCCGCATTCCATGTTTTTATGATTCGGAAGTATCACGGTGATCCGTCTCATGTGTTGGAGTTCAGCTAGTCCAGTTGGAAAAGGATTTGTCTTATGTTGAGGAGCCGACGGCCATTTTGGACATGTAGGTTCGAAAGTTGAGGTCGAAGAACATTGCTTCAGTGAAGGGGTCAACCAGTCGAGGAGGCGAGTTGGGAGATCGAGCATGATATGCGTAGCCGTTATCCTCATCTTTTCACCACTACAAGTATGTCTCTATACTCGTTCGAGGACGAACGTTTGTTTTAAGAGGGGGAGGATGTAACGACCCGGCAGATTATTTTGAGTGTTTTAGCCCCGATCCCCTATTTATTGCCTCCTCTATGATATATTGTGATTATGTGACTTGCCGGGGTGTTTTGGTTTCGGGTGAGTTCCGGAGTGAAATGAGACACATAGTCCCTAAGTTGGAGTTTTAAGTTGAAAGAGTTGACCGTAATTTGACTTTTGTGTAGACGACTCCAAAATGGAGTTTTGACGGTTCCAATAGCTCCGTATGGTGATTTTAGACTTAGTAGCATGTCCGGATGTTGATTTGGAGGTCCGTAGGTCGTTTCGGCGTGAATTGGCAAAAGTTGGAAAGTTGAAGGTTTGAAAGGTTGGAAAATTTGACCGGTAGTTGACTTTATTGATACCAGGGCCGTATTTAGATTCCGGAAGTTGGAATAGGTCCTTCATGTCAATTATGACTTGTGTGCAAAATTTGAGGCCAATCAGAGTTGTTTTGGTATGAATCGACATTAATTTGGGAATTCGGAAGTTCATAAGTTCCTTAAGCTTGAATCGATGTACGATTCATGATTCTAATGTTGTTTGATATAATTTGACACTTCGAGCATGTTCGTATGGTGTAATAGGACATGTAGGTATGTTTGATTGAGGTCCCAGGGGCCTCAGGTGTAATTCAAACCATGTTCGGCGCTTTTCGAAACATTGAAGATTGCTGAATCTGGTGCTTCTGGTTTCCTTATACGCGATCATGAGTGGATTAACGCGATCGCAAAGAGTAGTTTGGCACTGCGGGAAATTTACTCTATGCGATCGCGAGAAGAGGTCCGCGATCACGGATAACTGGCTTTCAGTGAATCGCGAACGCGCGAAGGAGGTTGTGTCCGCGTAGAAGGAATAGGGGGCTGCAGGTCCACGCATTTTTGTTCATCGCGGTCGCGTGGTGTGTTCCGCGATCACGTAGCTTGATGAAGTAGTGTGTCACATTCGCGTTTGGTCTTCCACGTTCGTGGAGTGTTATTTGGGGCAGCAACATTTTTTTGCTTCGCGAACTCGAGGCATTTTCCGCGTTCGCGAAGAAGGAATCACTGACAGCAGAGCTTAAATTTCAAAACGAGGGTTCTATCTCTTATTTCATAATTTGGACTTAGAGAG